AGTCTGAAATTGGCAATAAGGAATTCATGATCTGAGCCACCATCAGCTCCTGGTCTTGTTTTTGCTGACTATATAGAGCCTCTGCACCTTTGGCTGCAAAGAATATAATCAATTGGATTTCGGTGTTGACCATCTGATGATGTCTATGTGTAGAGTCTTCTCTTGTGTTGTTGGAAAAGGGTGTTTGCTATGACCAATGCATTCTCTTGACAGAACTCTATTAGTCTTTTCCCTGCTTCATTGTGTACTCCAAAGCCAAATATCCCTGTTACCTCAGGTATTTCTCAACTTCCTATTTTTGCATTCCAGTCCCCTATAATGAAAAGGACATCTTTTCTGGGTGTTAGTTCTAGAAGGTCTTGTAGGTGTTCATAGAATCATTCAACTTCAGCTTCTTCAGCATTACTGTGATACAGAATGGTTTGCCTTGGAAATGAGCAAACAGAAACCATTCTGTTGTCTGAGATTGCATCCAAGTACTGCATTTTGGACTCTTCTGTTGACTATGATGGCTACTCCATTTCTTCTAAGGGATTCTTGCCCACAGTAGTAGATATAATGGCAAAATGATTTGATTTTGTGAGCTCATGTTACTAAAGTTCATATAAATCAGTAAACTGAAAAACTACTGGATACAATAACTGTGTTTCATAAAAAATAGTTAAAGGATTCATTCAGCAAACAAACAGATTTTCTATACCCTAGCAATAATCATTTAAAAATACAATGTAAGCATTCTGCTTTTGGGTAGAGTGCAGTAGATCACAGCAGGTCAATACTTAATACCATAATGAGTAGAATCAAATAATTACAAAAATTCTACTTTTATAGACAGTAAGGAGCTTCAGATCAATAAACTAGACAAAATTCTAGAAATGAGGAAACTTTTCTAAGTGAAAATAATAATCTCTGGCTTTTCCTACCACCCACCTATCTCCACTGGTGGTACTTGCTGATTTTGGTCACAAGGCTGCCCATCAGCTTTTCCAGGCAGAGAAGTTTTGTTGGGATTTAAAGAAACCAGAAAGCTATTAGACATTTAGAAATTGGAAACCTGAATAGACTTAAACAAATGGTTGTTTTTTCCCTGGGAGCAATTGTGGATTTCAGTGCTGTACACAAGTCTGTAAGGCTAGACAAAAACTACTGAAAGGCAGAGTACACTCTTTTGCATTCTTCATAGTACTTAAGAAAGATCCGCTAGGGAAGTAAGCCTAACCAAAGAACAATGAAACTTCCCACTTCAAGATATATGCCAGTGTTTGAGGCTTATATTGTTTAGGCTGGAGGCAAGAGAGTCAGGCTAGAATGGAATACTATTAACGCTAAGTCTCCTACAGTGACAGGAAGGAATGGATGAAAACCCACCGTATTCTCAATCCAGCTCTAACCCAGTGAAATTTCTGACTGAACTGGAGTGATCACTTCCTCATGCTTTCTGCCTGTTGGCAGAACTGAAGACATTATGATGGATGATAAATCATCTCTAACCAATATGGTTCTTTTACACACAAAAACAGATTCATTTGGAAAATATTATAAAAGTTTAGTGATTCCATTTGTAAATAAAAATAAATTTATACACATAAATTACAAATGGATTAAAGTTATTATTTAAATATCTCTATTTTAAATAAATTCACCCAATTGGCAATATAAATTGGCATAACTACCTTAGAAAACAGTTTGTGATTTCATCTAGAAACTATATATTACTGAAACTCAGGAATTTCATTCCTCAGTGTATACTTCAGAGAAACTCTTACATATATTTTTATAAGACTATTATAGCAACACTTTTCTTAATAGCTCCAAGTGGAAATAAGTTGAATGTCCATCAACAGAAGGAGGTCTCAATAATTTGTGGCACAATGTACTATTTTATAGCAAAAAATAAAACAAAACAAATACAGTCCCCCTAAAACTTTAGCTATACACAATATGATGAATCTCATAGCGTTGAAAAACAGAAGCAAGGCACAATAGATTGTATTCAATTCATATAAAGTTCAAAGAGAAACAAAAATAAATTATAATATTTATGGATGTATACATATATAGTAAAACTAAATAAAAGCAAGGAACTGATAATGATAAAAATTCAGAATATTGGGTGGAAGAGATGGTTGTGATTGGGCCAAGAATGTATTTGCTCTTTATCCCTTAAGCCTTTGGCCAACATCTATTCACTCTGAGGTGGTTTACTATAATCAATAAATATGCTTAATTCAAACTATATATGAACTAAATAATGATTTCTGGTGTAGAAACATTGTAAAAGACTAACACATCTGACAAAAATTGAATTATGCTTCATCAACCAATCATAAACTTTTAAGAGTAAATATACAGATGGTGGCTTAGAGGTAAAGAACCTGCCTGCAATGTGGGAGACCCAGGTTCGAACCCTGGGTTGCGAAGATCTAGTATGAGAAGATCCCTTGGAAAAGGCAATAGCTAACTACTCCAGTATTCTTGCCTAAAAAATTCCAAGGACAGAGGAGCCTGGTGAGCCACAGTTCATGGGCTTGCAAAGATTTGGACACAACTGAGGAACTAACATTTCACTTTTCATACAGATGCATATTTATTTATACATGGTATACTATGGAGAGTATATTTCAAATTTAAATGCAACTATACTATTTAGATAGTTTGAAATTACTCATATATTAACCAAATAAAATAAACATTACAACCAGATGTTTCACATTACCTCTAACCAAAACAAAATGATATTAGCTGAAAATACTAATGCTGCCAACGAATGCTGACAAGATATTTTATGACAATTTTTCTTCCAACACTTTTGAAAGGAAGAATCAGTTTCACATTTTTTTATGCCTCAGGCCTCAAATGCTCTGAAGTTGTTTTAGATGTAATAACAGGAACTGATGGGGAAAAAAAAATCACTTATTATATGTCATCCATGAATCATGCTTCTTTTCCCCAAGGTATCTCTTGAGGAATAACTGTCATAATTCTAGAAGTAAAAAAAATCATAATAAAAAACTACTCTTTTAGAGAAAAAGTCACTACTAAAAATAGGCAACATTTCTGCTTATTAATTAAACTAATAAAAGAGTATATTTATCTTCTGTTTCTAGGATGGACCTTCCCCAAAGCAACAATTTTGGTCCACTATTAAGATCTCATATAACTCTTTTAGGTAATTCCATTTAGTAGCATGGCTCAACTAATTTTCGTATAATGACAAATCTCAGTATGAACTGAAAGATGGAATTATCTTTCTTTTGAATTACAGACTGATTAACATAAGGTTACTTAAGAGGAACCTCAAATTCAATAAGTCCAAAACTTACCTCACTTCCTCTCAAACATTCCTTTTTCCCCTCCTCTTTAGATTAACAGCAACACAATCTACTTAGCTTCCCAAGTCAGAAACCTGAGTCAATCTTTCCACTTTCCCTTAAATATTCAATAAATCACCAAGTATTGTTGATTCTATTTTCTTAAATAATATTTCTTGACTACGAGTTCTTTTTCTTCAACTTCATGGTCATGCTTCAGTTCAAGTCTCAATCACTGCCTATATTCCTGCAATCCGGTTTCCTTCCTTATAAATGGAACCTCCTCTTCTCCTCTGAAATAAGATCTTTCATTCATCAAAATAAAATCACCATCCTGATTATGCCACTTTCTTTCTTAAAATCACATAATGGCATCCGATAGTTTTCAGTTTCTTAACATGGCATAAAGGTTCATTGCCAGTCCTACATCTCAACAGTCTTTATTTTATACCTTATGATCTGGTGTCATATTATCTCCTGTTTATAATTTCACAAATACCTCTGCTTCTGTACAGAATTTCAATTTGCTCAGTATACCTCTTGGAAAGATTTTGCTGATTATCTTTTTGAATAAGTGTCCTACCTATATATTCCATAGAATATTTTCTTCACCTTTATCATTTAACACATACTGCAATTATAAGAGCACATTTAAGCATCACAAAAAATTAATTTCAACAGCTCAGTTTTATTAATTCCCATTTTATCTTCTGAAAAATGAGATCTGGATTAGACTTAAGGTTCTTCCCAGTTAAACTATTTTACGAATTTATATCAAGTTGGAAAGAGTCTCTTGACATGCCTGACTTTTCTCCCCAACTTTCTGCTAGAATATAACCATGGTATTAATTCCTGATGTTGTCCATACAAAACACCTGAGATACTGAAAGTAACAGAACATAAAGATTAATGAATTCAACTTATTTAAAAATAATGTAACCAATTAAAGAACTATTTACTAACAGCTTGAATTTATTGAAATTGATTTAGAAAGGTGTGATCAAATCAAAGTTAACAATTTGTTAAGATCTTTACATGTCATTGTTAACAGTTTAACTCAGTCTTGTTTATCCTTGACTACTGTTATCCAGTTATTAAATTTTATTAATGGAAAAGATAGTAAGTTCAGTTCTCATTAGATTTTAAACTGCTTTTAGAGAAGGGCCACACGTTATGCTAGAATACTAACAATCCACAGAATTGAGTAAAATGTAAAGACAGAAAAATGTGACTATGCTGTAATATTCAAAGAGTAAGGTCAATTTTTCAGTTATTGTACTGTTAATTTTAGATTGAAACTGGCCTACTATGTTATCAAAGGAGCCAGTAAAATTTATTAGAAGACTAATATTTACAATGGGTGAGAGACTATAGGAAAAAGAAATTAAAATGATAAAGAAATACTTTATGCAAAATAATGTTTATATACAGTGCTTTCTTAAGTAAATTTTCAATGAGTTTTACAAGAAAGGGTTCCTTTTTTGATTTTCCTACCATGTATTGATGATGGTAGATGAAATCGGATGATGATTATCTGATACGTATATTTTAATTCAAACAGAATAACTGGGAGTTAAATGATATCCCAACACAGGTAAAGATTCAATAGTATAAAGAAAAGACAATTTGTTGCCCACCTTCCCGCCAAGATACTAAGTTTTTGTGGAGGTGAAAAATGCCATACTATACCTTGATTTCTTCTATTTCATCTGGTACTATCTTGTATGCTGATATAGTCCCACCCAACCTGAAATTAGGAGAAAAAAATATTCTCAAAACCGGCAACAGTGTATTAAAAAATATGGACTATTTTTGTCATTAGCAGCAGAGTGCCACCAGTAATTGCCCATTACCCACCCCAATAACTATGGAGGAGAAAACAACCATTTTGTGCTCAGGTTTTCCATACAGTTGTTTAAAAAGATAATAAATGACTACTGAAGGAGGAAACATAAGTCAGATTTTTAATCATAATTAAGTTTTTCTTATTGATGGTTTTTATGATGCTCAAACTGCCACTTTGATTAACAGATTCTGTCACAACTAAGATGTATCAAGAACAGTATCTGACATTTCTGTTTTCATGGCATCATGAAACACAGCTAGGTTTAAAATACTTATCAATTCAACATACCATCAGTATTCTATAGCACTGCACTCAACGTAGACTGATTCCAAATTTCATGTTATTTCCCTTACAACATGCTGCTTTCCTGACTCAAAGAAAGACTATGCTAGAAGTAACAGTAGAATAATTTACTCTAGTCAATATGTAAAAGTATTATATTGGCAGTAACAGTGGTAGTTATAGCAATAATATTACAGTTAGTAGTATACTGAGTATTTACTATACGCCAAACATTCAATTGTCAGGTTATACATGTTTATTTTCTCATTTAACTCTAATAAATTATAATAAGGATTATGAAAAAATGAGACAAGCAATTTTTGAAAGTCTCACAACTAGAAATGGCAGACTGGGCTTAAGATAAGCAGTCTTATCTTCCAAAAATTGATGAGCAGCTTTTTAAAATTCACATGACAATTTAAGTGACACAGAATAATCAAACAATCTTGAAAAGATGAAAGTTGGAGGATTTATATTTTCTGATATCAAGTTACTAAAGAGCTACAATAATGAAGACAATGTGGAGCTGGCATAAGAATAGACATACAAAGCAATAGAGTACAACTGAAAGTCTGGAAACAAATATCACATTTATGGTCAACTAGCTTTTGTTTTCCTTTTATTTTATTGTAAATATTGTAATTTGACACTTAAACCATTTTTCAGTGTACAATTAAATGATAAATGATGGGCAACCATCAGTACTATCTATTTCTAAAACTTACCCATTCCATAAACAGAAACTCTATTAAAAAAAAACAAAAACAAAGCCCAGAAACTCTCTAATCATTAAGGAATAACTTCTCGTTTTCCCCTACCCTCATTTCCCTGTAACTACTAACCAACTTTGTCTTCACGAATTTGACTACTCTAGGAAACTCACAAAGAGAAACCATACAATATTTGTCCTTTTGTGTCTGGAAAATGTCACTGTGCCTAGTTTTCAAGCTTTATCCACACTGTAGCACCGTATCAGAACTTCATTCCTTTTTTATGACTGTATAATTTCCACTGTATGTATATACCATGTTTATTTATCCAATCATCTGTTAATGGAAACTTAGATTGCTTCAATTTTTTGGCTACTGTAAACAATACTGCAATAAACATTAGCATACAATATCTGAATCTCTCTTTCCAGTTCTTTTGGATATTTACCTAGGAGGTGGAACTGCTCAATCATATAGTAATTGCAAGTTTAGCATCTGAAAGACCACCAGTGTTCTGAAGTGACTGTACAGATTTTATTGATACACTACCACCAAGAATGCATGAGGGTTCCAATTTATCCACATCTTCATCAATACTTGTTATTCTATTTTTTTAATGGCTACCCTAATGGGTATAAAGTATCTTTTCATATTCTTACTGGCCACATGTGTTTCTTATCTAAAGAAATAACGATTCAAGTGCTCTGACAATTTTTAAATCGGGTTTTCTTTTTGCTGGTGAGCTGTATATATACATTCAGGATATTAAACCCTTATCTAAGATATTATTTCCAGATATTTTCTCTCATTCTGTAGGTTGTCTTTTACTTTCTTGATAATAGACTTTGATGCACAAAAACTTTTAATTTTGGTGAAGTCCAGTTTATGTATTTTTTCTTTCATTGCTCACCTTCCTGGTGTAATGCATAAGAATCCATTGCCAAATTCAATGTCTTGAAGGTTTATTACTACATTTTCTTGAAAGTGTTTTATTATTTTAGTGCTTCTATTTAGGGTACTGATCCGTTTTGAGTTAATGTTTGTATATGGCACGAGATATGATTTTAAGTTAATTCTTTCCCATGTGGAAATCTAATCATTTAGCACCATTTCTTTCCGAAAGCTGTTCTCACAGCTTTGACTCAGCACCCTTGTCTAAAGTCAGTTTTCCATGGATACAGGTTTATTTCTGGATCCTTAATTTTATACTATTGGTCTATAGGTCTACCTTTATTTTTAGACACTATTTTAAATGGAGCAGCTTCTAACTTGCTCTTCAGATTTTTCATTGCTGATGTACAGAAACAAATGATTTTCCTGTGTCGATCTTGTACTCTGCAACTTTTCTGAACTTGACTATTGATCCTAGTAACTTTCTTTTGGATTCTCTAGGATTTTCTATACACAGGATCATGTTATCTGTGAATTGAGTTAGATTTACTTCTCACTTAACCATCTGGATACCTTTTATGTCCTGTCTTTGTCTAAATACTCTGGTTAGAACTTCCAGTGCAATGTTCAGTATCAGTGGTGAAGCTTTCCATTTTTCACAACTGAATATGATGTCAGTTGTGGGATTTTCACAAATGCTTTTTATCAGGTTAAGTAGGTCCCCTTCTATTTCTAGATTTCTGAGTGTTTTTACCATGGAAAGATGCTGGATTTTTGTTAAATGTTTTCTCTGTGTCAAATGAGATGATCATGTGGTTTTTTTGCCTTTCAATCTTTGTTTTAATGTGCTACATTACAGTAATTAATTTTCCTATGTTGAACTACCCTTTAATTCCTGGGGATAATCTGACTTGGTCACCATGTATAATCCTTTTAATACATTTGGATTCAGTGCCTTAATATTTTCTTAAGTCGAAAAAAAAAAAAGGATTATACATGGTGACCAAATCAGATTAACCCAGGAATTCAAGGGTAGTACAACATAAGAAAATGTTGAATCTTTTGGGGATTGGAATGAAAACTGACCTTTCCCTGTCTATGGCCACTGCTGAGTTTTTCAAATTTGCTGGCATATTGACTGCAACACTTTAACAGCATCATCTTTTAGGATTTGAAATAGCTCAGCTGGAATTCTATCACCTCCACTAGTTTTGTTTGTAGTAACGCTTCCTAAGGTCCACTTGACTTCACACTCAAAGATGTCTGGCTCAAGGTGACTGACCATACCATCATGGTTATCTAAATTCAAATTCATTAGGAATAGAAATATTTAAAGGTAATTCAAAGTTTCTAAAAAATAGTTTGATTTTTCTCCCCAAGTCATATCTTCCTCTGCTACAGTTCTCCCCATTTTTTGTTATGATAAATGTTAACTGACCCACTAGTGCATGTCAGAAGTGTGAAAACCTTTTAAATGTCTACCTTTCTCAACCCCTACATAACATTCCCTGGTGGCTCAGATGGTAAAGCATCTGCCTACAATGAGGGAGACCTGGGTTCAATCCCTGGGTTGGGAAGATCTCCTGGAGAAGGAAATGGCAACCCACTCCAGTGTTATTGCCTGGAAAATCCCATGGACAGAGGATCCTGGCAGGCTACAGTCCATGAGATCGCAAAGAGTCGGACATGACTGAGCGACTTCACTTTCACATAATTTAATGACAGTCATATTTTTATTTGCCATAATTTATCTGGAAAATATTCATTCCTCCATTTTCACTTTCTTTAAGATTTTATTATTTCTAACCACGGTTTTAGGAGTATCCTCATCATAGCTGTACAAATCTTATCTTTCCACAATGTAATTTTTGCCACGTCACATCCTAATTAATTTATGGGCAATACCTTAAGAAGTGTGATGAAATTCCTTTAATAAACTTGACTCCTTAAGTCTATTTCTTGTTTCGTTTTCTGTTATCCCTTCATAGTACCTGTTTGTTACAACCATGCCAATTGTCAACAGTTTCATAAGTGCATTAGGCAATCCTTTGCTTTATGTCTCTCAATTACCTGTACCTTAAATACTCTTCTCCATCCCCAAAACTTCAAATCACCTTTCAGGAATCAAATACCACTTTCAGAACACTTATACAAACTCTGGAAGCAGAAATAGGCACCTCCTCTACTATGAATAGTGCCTTACTCATATTTGCATTATAGCTTTTCTTCTATTATTATAATTATCTGCTTAGAGATCTATATTCTCCACTAGATAATGAAGGTACAGATTATATTTAAATTACTTTCTATACTTGGCAAATAGTGAGTACTTACAGTTTGAAAAATCAGCACACATTTGGTGAATGAATTAATGAATTCAGGGGAGTCAGACATATGAAATGTCACCAAGATCCTGAGCAAAAATCTTTTTTCAAAGCAGCATCTACAGACTTATGGATCAACATGGCAAAGTAGGAAGATGTGGAAATCAACATCCTGCATGAACACATCAAAAATAGATCTATATTACTCTAGGAGGTGGGTCAAAAAAGATCTTGGTTTATGGAAGAGTGTGTCCTGCCTGTTTTCCTCTAGGAGTTTTATGGTATAGCCTTATATTTAGGTCTTTAATCTATTGTGAGTTTATTTTTGTGTGTGGTGTTCGGGAGTTTTCTAATTTCATTCTTTTATATGAAGCAGTTCAGTTTTCCAAGCACTACTTATTAAAGAGGCTGTCTTTTCTCCACTGTACATTCTTTGATTCTTTTGTGATAAATTAATAGATCATAAGTGTGGGGGGTTATTTCTGGGCTTGCTATCCTGTTCCATTGATCTGTAAGTTAGTTTTTATGCCAAAATCATATGGTTTTGATTACTGTAGTTTTGCTATTCAGAGTCTTTTGAGTTTCCATACAAATTGTAAAATATTTTTGTTCTAGATCTGTGAAAAATGCCATTGGTAATTTGATAGGGATTGCATTAAATCTGTAGATTGCTTTGGGTAGTACAGTCATTTTC